CCCCATTATATAATATGGCATGGCTGAAATATGATGGCATTCTTAAAAATATTGCTGTTAAGAAAGATCAGGGAAATGTAGTATGGTTAATAAAAAAAAAATGTTGTCAAATAAATGTGACACCTTGTCAAATGCTATTATAATGCAAACATTATATTAATGTATAATGTTCATGGAACTGGACAGGGGTCTCAAAATCACCCTACAACCCCTGTTGGATCCAGTCCATGGGGTAAGAGATGGGCATGGGGGTAATGCAGCTGTTGCTTGCCTTGATGCCAATACACATCGGCACCAGTACTCTGCCCTGAATCTCAGTGGCAAGCTCTACCCCAAAATTCTTGGTCCTTCTACGAGCCCTGTGGGGCACATGGCATGGCTCCATGAGCCAGATGCTGAACCCTGCTGTGGGTACATATCTGTTCTCTGCCTGTCTCCAGAGCATACAAGCCATCTGTATTTACCTTTGCTACTGGCTCAAGTGGTTAGTAATGATGGAAAGGATTATATCTGGCAGTGCCATAGGAACAGAACAGGGAGGGCTGGGAGATCAGCAGAGACTGCAGAAAGAACAGACAGAATGAGAGGCATTAAAAATCCTGTGGAGGTCCCCTCTAGGGCTCTGGCCACTGTTGAGGGACTACATGGTATGAGGCCTATGTGAAATTAGAATTTAGAGCCCCAACTTTTCTCTTAGGTCTGGCTACCTAAGTCACTCCTTTGGGAACGGACAGCTACCTGTTAAAACACAGCCGGTGGTGGAGCTCATCTTTAATAGAATAGTGTAGTGGTCAGAGCACTTAATCTGAAAGTGGGAGATGCAGGTTCTGTTCCCTGCTCAGCTTGAGGGAATGAGAGTGCAGTAAAGATGACGTTAGGTTGGAGAGGGGTTGGGGAGCTTCTCCACATTTTATAGCTGTATCACTGGGTAACAAGGAGTACAAAATTTATAGGGCTAGAGAGACTTTTTAAGCTTTCTACAAAAATACTAAAAACCAGAAGATGAAAGTTCAAAAACATGTAGCTGCCACTGCCCCGCTCCCTCCTCCTCTGGACCAAGCACGGAACACTTGTCAGCAACAAAAACGCTATCACTAGAGATTGAAATCCCCTTTTCCCCCATGCCCTTCCTTTAGCTGTCCATCTACCATCTTGCAAAGTGGCCTCCCAGTGGCTCAGTCTTGCACAAACTGGTCCGTACTTTGTTGTGACGTGAAGTATCTGAACTCAGATGCGATGGGTTCCTGAACCAAGAAGCAAAAGAATTGGAGGGCATCGCTGAAGCCGCCTTCATAAGATGGTTTGTGAAGCTTTTCACTGTCACCATCTTGGCTTGGCCCAGCAGGAAATTGGTCAAGCACATCATGTTCCCTTTGGCTTCTTGGTACGGAAGGGATGAAACATGCAGTCTTGGAGATGTCCAAGTCCAGTATATCGAGGGCACTGAGGACAGCAAAATCTTCTCTACCACCTCCTTAGAGAAAAAGCAGGCTGCCAAGTCTAAGTGGCCTGTGGCCAGGATTCTATGCAGTAACCACCCCTGGAAGCTGCTAGTTCCCTTGGTGATGGATAGCTTGTATATGGTGCACTATCTCTGGCCGGCTTGTTCTGCTGTTGCTGTCATTAGGTGCTGCCTCCATGTTGCTACATGGTTGCAGAACTGATTGCCAGTTCTTAATGTCACCGAGATCCCTTTTCTTGGGCAGCAGTGTAAGGACTGCTGTGTGGCAGCTGACTAATAGGGTCCCATTTTTGAGGCTGTCCTGGAAGTTGTGCAGGAGGTCCAGGCTGAAGAGGGGCCAGAAAGTGTTGTAGAATTTGGTAATCTGTCAAGACGTACACCTTCCCTGTGGTTTGTGGGCAGGCCTTCAGTAGTAGAGGTCAGCTCTGCCAAGAATAGTGGCTGTTCAAGCTTGTCATCCTCAGATGTGCAGAGCCTGGGGATGCCCTCTTGCAGGTGACATTGAATTGGAAGAAGCATTGAATTAGCATGTACTCGACTAATTCTCAAGCATTCTTTCTGGAGTTTGAGGCATAAGCCCACAGTCATTACTGGTATCCCTCACAATTTCTTTGTCAAGCTTTTGCACGCTACGACAGCCCTCGGTCACTTTGTTTATTGTAATACTCAAATACAAGATGACCCTGAATATAAGACAACCTCTCAGCAATTAGATTCTGTATATGGAAAATTTTATCAATTTACGGCTTTTCAGGTGTAGAATCTATTACAGCGTTGTCTTGAATTCATCCTCCTCCCACTGCTACAGCAGGGAAAATTGTGGTTGGCGGGGGGGGGCTCAGGTGGGCCCCTTGTCCTCTGCCACCCTCTTTCCCCTCCCCCGTTAGTGTTAGGCCCTGCTCAGGCTCTATTCCCTTCCGGAGCAGTGTGAAAGTGAGCTGCATGTGACAATAAGGGGGGAGTAAAGAGGACAGAAACTACAGAGGAAAATAGGAGACAGTTGTGGATCTGACTCTGGCCCCAGCCTTGACTGCTGCAAATTTCAGCATGGATACTCTGTACACACACTTCTGAGCACCACTTTTGTACCTACTTATACATGGTACAAACTTCATGACATTATTTCAGGGTCAGAAGGCTCATGACTTTTTATTATATAGTTCATTGGGCTGGGCCCCGGCAGAGTCAATGGTGTTTGAGGCCATTGTGACCCTGCAGCCCAGCACTGCTCAGTGTGTGTGGGTACTCCATTTTCAACCTTCTAGGATCCGGTGATCTCATAAAGCAGGGGCGGGCAATTATTTTGGGCAGAAAGCTGCTTACTGAGTTTTGGCAAGCTGTCAAGGGCTGCATGGTTAGCCCTACCCCTTGACAGGTGCCCCGACCCCTGCTTGTCATCTTGTGACCAGAAGTCCCACCCCCTAACCTCTGACATTCGCCACCAGAAGTCCCTCTCCTTGCCCCCAAAAGTACTTCTTTCAGCAAGGGGTTTTGCCATCTCAGAACCAGAAAAATACCAAATTATATTCTAAAAAGTGATCATCTACAACATTCATTAATTTGATTTCGAAAAATATTTTTGTCCTGATTTACATGCGTTTGTGTAGTATACGCAGAGGTGACTGCACAATAGGTTAAAATGAAGTTTTCTTTTTATATATTGTGGGGGATGGGTATAGGTTTGTGGGGGCTGTGAGTATGTGGGGTGTGGGTGGGTATGGTGTGAGGGTAGCTGGGGTTTGTGTATGGCAGTGCAAGGGGAGGCGTAGGTGCACATGTATGGAGGAGGGGGTGTGGGACTCACGCTATGAACACACACACTCTGCCCCTGTGCCTGCACACACGCACCCCACTACTAGCACGGTCCCATGCTCTGTGGTCTGGGGATGCAGCCAGGAGCCACAGCCACATGGTGCTGAAGCAGTGAGGGGCAGGAAAGCAGGGAACTAGCTGGGGGTGGACAGGGCTGAGCTGCTCAAGCCTGCAAGCCTGCTGAGGGCTTCCTCTGGGTCCTACTGCCTCTGTTTCCAGCCAGCTTTGATAGGGAGCTGGGGGAAATAAATATTAATTTACTAAACTTTTTAGGGGCTCTGCGGGCTGAATAGAATAACCTGGCGGTCTGTATTTTGGCTTTCACTGTCATAGAGGGTCTCTTCTGTCGTGCTTGCATCAATGCACTGCCACCACCTCCAGTCTCAACAAGAAACCTAACAATGTTTTCAAGGGAGTAACCTTCCCCAAATGCATTCCTAAGGGAAACATCTGAAAACTGATGCTTCTTCCGTAAGGAAGTGCCATCCCTCGCTAGGGATGATCATTTCTTTTTGGGAGGGTAGAGGGGTTAGGATGGGGAACTCAGAAATGTTGAGGCGAGCCCACAGGCTCTGATGACCTTTTTTCTCCCCATCTGCAGACTCTCTTGAGTCCATTTCAAAGTCTGGGACCTCAGGAGGTGGTAGAGATTGAGGCTTAGGGGCAGTCGCCTCCCCATCAGAGCAGTCAGCATCATTCCCTGAAGGTACTTCCCTCTCCAAGGTTTCTGTTGACCACAGCTCTCTTAGGGGTCATATTTCTCTGGGTTGAAGCTTCTGAGTCTCAGCTTCAGTTTCATTTTTGGTCTGTACACTTAGGGACTGAGCTTGGGGGAGTTTGGCTCTCCAGCATCAGCTACCTCAGGAGTTGTGTGGATGGGGAATTCCTGAGGAAATGTTGGGCTCACTGGGGCAGACTTTCTCTTTTCTTGGGGTTCAGCAGTAGGATTTGGGATTTCTTCTGAATGGGATGGGTGGGTTGGATGAGAATCTGGGAACAATGCCAGTAGCCCCAGCAGAGACGGAGATAAGCTGGGTGGAAGGTTTGGTTCCTGTGTTACATTCCATATGCTGGTTGTCTAGCCATGTCTGTAGCTGCTTGCCCATTCCTGTCACAATTACGTGGCAGGGGGAAACACGGAGCTTGTGTAGTATGTCTGGACAGTTAACAAACCTGGTCTTTGGCATGTGAGAGAGATTGAGAAATGGTCTACCAGACAGTAGGTGGTCATAAGGAGCATACTGTCAGTGTCTCCTTTCACATGTCTAATGAGAGCTCCACCTTGACATCCACTGCCAATCCTATGTCAGCATGATAGAAGGCAGGGTATAATTGTGACAGTTTTTAGGAAATATGCAAGCAGCAAGGATTTCTGGTGATGCCATTTGTCAGACTTAAGTAGTCTCCTGTAACTGAGTCCTATACTGGTCCTATATGTTAAAAATTTAAGTTGTTAATTGTTTGGAAATCTGTTGTGGACCTGTGTGATCACTACTGCTTCTAAAAAGTGGTAGTTTTATTCTGGACTGGTTTTCAGCTTTTGAATGGTCTCACAGGCTAAGCCTTGTAGTTTCTATTTGTGATATTGTAAAAGTCTAAAATTTTAGGAAATGGGTATTACCCAGTATGAAATGATGTCGTTTATTAAAGTTGTATTTGACTCAAATGCTTTTGGTTTTTTCCCAGATGAGTATTTTTTTAAAAAGTATTTTAATATTTTGCTAAACTTTTGTCTCTTTCAGGTTATGCAATGGTCTCTGCAAGATGGCTTGTTCTTGAGTTGGAGCTTTTTAAAACAAACATATGCTGGTACTTCAACTTTATTAAGCGGACTATAATTTCTTCTCTCACAACAACTACATAAGCAGACAAAATTGCAAAGATCTGCCCTGTTTCGAGTATGACAGCCACGACCCGTGGCTCTCCGGTAGGAGGGAATGATAGCCAGGGCCAGGCTCCTGATGGACAGTCTCAGCCTCCCCTCCAGCAGAATCAGGTATGATACAACATTTGCAAAACCATTCAAAAAGACAACAATAGTCCTGAAGTACAGGATAATATTAAGTATTTCAGGTCTTTATGACAAACCACACCCCCAAGGGGATTTTTAACCTCTTTAGTGAAGAAAAATTGGGTCTGGTTAATATTCCCTTGAAAGGCTTCCAAGAAAAATTCAGGGGTTGAAGGAAAAGCTACTGAACAGGTATCCCAGAATATTACTAGACAGCTCTGTATGACTAAGATGCTGCCTTTCAGATAAAATGGGATAGTTGGGAAAGTAAGCTGTTGTTCATGCATATTAGTGAAGTAAGTCTTTTCCACCAAGATGTCAGATGTTTCCTCAGAGCAGTCTCTCTGATTTGTCCACCTCAGATTTGTAAAGCAGCTACTTCTGATCTCCACTTGCTGCTCATCACTCTGAAACAAACTTTATGCCTCCTGCCTTCCAAGGAAGGTAGTAATGTATAGGAATGCCACTTCTGGTGGAGAGAGAAGAAAATGCTCATGCCTGAGAGACAAAGCTCTGACCTGCTGTGTATCAGTTTATGTTCATAACACTAAGGAGTTCTGAAAGTCCAGATCCCTTTTTTATTTAACTTCCCTGTCATCTTTAAAGGGATGAAAGCTGCCACACCTATTTTATCAAAATGGGGCATTTCCAAAGCATAAATTGAAAAGCACTGCTTTAAGAAAGTGGTTCTCAGTCTTACTGGGTATGTGGCAGGCTTGCAATGGAGGTGGGTAACTATTTCAATACAATGTTCATGGGTATTGTGATTCCTAGGTAGGAACTGCTGGTTTTAAGAACTAACAGCAAAGCTCATGTCCTCAGAGCGGTGGCTGTTTCCTGAACAGAAAAAAAACTTATGTCCAGTACCAGATCTTTTCTGTAGCCACCTGGTTGCTAGTTTCAGGTTTTCAAGCTATGCCATAGTCCTCTTGTTACAGAAGTGGGTTAAGCCCTGCATATGTAGCTCATTGTATTTTCCCTGAATGCACACTACAAAAAATTCTGCCCTCGTCAGATTGATTGACTTAATATGATGGAAAATAGGAAATTTCCTGTTGTTTATTTGGAAACTTCTAACCATCATCCAGTGATTCATGGGCTGTTGAGTCACTTGAATGTTTTTTAGAACTTTTTTTTCATTGGAATCTTGGGGAAGAAGTGTTGAAAATTCTGTTGCTGTGAAGGTTATGGTCTTAAGCGTTTTGCTCCAAATTTGAGTTGACAGTGTCCATTGCATAATGAATTTAGGGGAAAAATGGTGCTTCAGTTATTTACTGACTCAGTAATGTCTGGCTTCTGCCCCAGATTTGCTCTAACCTTGTTAATACCAGGGGAATTGTAATGGTAGGAGAGAGTAGAGAATTCTAAAAAAAAGGTAGAGAAGAAGACAAGGCTAGACAAAACTATTCACAATTTGGTTTGCATCTTACCTGTCATCTATTATACTGAGGGCCTGCTCCTGGAAGAAGCCAGGGGATGGGTTATGGGGTGTGGGGTATAAAACTGTTAATCATCCATATGTGTTTCTGAATTCAGGAGATGCTATCATATGAGATCATCCAAGATTAAATTCTATCTAGCAACCTAATGCAGCTGCCTGGCGCACATCATAAGCAAAAAGTTGATTGTTTACAAATTAGTAACATGCTATCCACAGTTTCTATGATATATTAAAATGTGAAATTAATACAGATCTGCAAATATTAAGTTCTATAACTGCTTAACATAAGTATGTGTAGTCATAGTGGATCAATTTCAGTGTAAAAGCTCTGAAATATTCTCACTAAACTGTCATTTTGTCTCTCTTCTAAAGTTTTGAAATATGCATAATTGACATCTTGGCATGCAGATTTAAACACGCCATGCTGAAAACAATAACAATGTAATTTAATGGCTAAGATATCTATAATAAATAGTATATGGGAAAAATGGAGTTTAGACTGTTGCTAATATTAAATTAGGGGAATAGAGGGGTTTATGTAATGAAATTATTTTGCAAAACAAATAGAAATGTTGGCATGAATCAGTTTTATTGAAATGTAAACATACCAACAAAGTATTTGGAGTTCAGACACTTGCCTGAAAATTGGAGATGGAAATTCTTAATGATTTTTTTCAGACTCAATGAAATGTGAAAGAAAAAAATAATCTTAAAAAAAAGATGACATAGAGATGTTACACTTCCTCAACTTAAAGTAATGTTGGCTTACAAGGAGAAAAAAACATTCGTTCTAAATTTTAAGTTTTGGAAGTTTTTTGGAGCAGATACTGGATTCTTTTCAATTGGTATAAAATGTGCTCAGTGTACAAGACCCTCATCCTAATGAAGGCCTATGAATACTACTGATGGTCCATTTTTTAGCCAGAAAGGTGTCTTTAAAAACAAGGAAATCTGTATTCTATTTACAGTTATTTGCATATGTTTTAAAACTACTTGGGTATTGTTGCCATCAAAGGAATAAACTAAGAAAAGAATAATATGTAAAAAAAACAAACAAACAAACAATCATTCAGTATTAGGAGTAACATGTTGATTTATATACAAATCAACAGAAAGCAGTTTAAGGTTGAACTACAGTGGAATAGGATAAAGCACCACTGGATAAGACTATCTGACCCCCAGATGAGTGATGTGGGGCCAATCTGCAGGCTGGATCCATGTTCAGTAAGTCTGTGGGTGTGATTTGGCACTCTGGCCCAGCCCCGCATACTTGGATCTAGCCCATGCACTGGCACAGTGCATGTGACAGTCCACAGTCGCATCATCTGGTTGTGCAGCTCCCCATGGGTCTAGAAATTTAGCGTCAGGAGCAGCAGCTCCCTGCTACCACTCCTGTACAATTAAATTTCTGGATCTGTGGGGGAGACTTCCAGGCTGGATGACAAAGGTCCATGAGCAGGAGATAGAGCTGTTTAAAGAAAAAATACATATTCAGAATGCTGATGCCTAAAATTAGGCTCCTGAGTCCAGATACAGTCATTTTAATTGAATAATATTGGTGAGTCTAGGAAGTAATTTGTGGAGGAATAGAGATTTTTGTGAAGAAATACTAATCCAAGGCTGGTTTACTATCCAACACGTGTGTGTCAGGAAAATAATTAAAATTCCAGCTTTTTAAATATTAACTCAGACATTGTTATTTAAATATCTCTTTATATTGAAACCATTTCACTTTTTAAAACAAACTCTTAAGCTTAAATGTAAAATTATGACTACTTATGTTAAAGGCTAAACATATACTACAAACTTATTAAAAGAAAATGCTACATCAGTGAATCCTTCAAATATTAATGAGTTTAAGTGAGGTATGTTAAGGGGAATATTTAACTTTTGAAGCGAAAGCTTTATAAAGATGTCACAATGTTAGTTACTCATTTATGTAGTAGTATTTTTAATCTTTACAGTAAAGCAAATGCTAGTACAAGCAACTTTTTCAGGGGTTGCTATTTTTATTTTGATTTGTATGGAAGAGATGCATGTCAGTACTTCTGGTTTCAGTTTAGCTAGCAACTAGAGAAAATATTTTCTTCGTTTGAACTGTTTCAAAGTGGAGAATCAGGCTGGGAATTGATCAGGGCAGGGATATTTGCTTTTGTTTTCTAATTTGTAGATAAACAGATGAAAGAGGATGAAGTGTACTATTTCCAAGACTTTAAATGTTGCAGAGCCAGATTTTTCTGAGCTAGTTAAATGCAAAATGGGATTTTTCAAAAATGTGTTAATTGTCTAGCTCCCATTGAACTAATTTAAATTATTCAATAACAAGTTCATTCCTTTGTTTTGATAAATAAGAACATGTTTTGATAGATATTTATTACATATCAGTACATTTTAAATAGCCCAAATAGCGTAAAAACGAAACTATATTTGGATAATAATTAAAGGTATTAACAAAGAGCAGCATAATGTTAAACAAAACTATTTGGTCATAAAAAATGTGTAATTCTCCATTTGCCCACATCATACTGATTGCATTTAATTGGATCAATTGATGAATGCAGAGAGATATTTGTTTTAAGTGAACACAAATAAGTATGGTCTAAGTATGTGGATGCATAACAATTGAAGGTAACAGTTGCAGTGACGAGCAGGGATCCTGGTTTTCTCCCCCAGTGGGAATTTCTTTTTTTAATCGGAGAAAACCAGGATACCTGTTTGATCAGGAACCAGTTTGTTGTTTGTGAACTACTGTGACTCCAACCCCAGGGGTGAGAGTGAGCACCCAGCCCAGCATGCTTCTTAGTGGGCAAGTAGGCTGTACTTGCACCCATGTTTAGAGAGTCCCAGCGAGTAGGTGACCTGTGGCTGGGGATGTGATCACTTTCTGCTTTCCCTTCTCTCCTAAACATGAGTTCAGTAAACTGCATTGTGCTTGCTTGATGTGGGGGTGGGGGAAAGGAGTGCTTGGACCTGTACTTCTAGAGTCCTGGGGGTATAATGATAGCCCATGGTCTAATAGGGATTGAAGACACAGCTGGCTGTTAGTGAACAAGCAGAGTAGGGGAGTTGATTGATTTTAAAAAGTGCCAAAAAAGGTGGAGGGAAAAGGGAGGCAGCAGAGTTCTGGGGGTATGCCAGAGGAGTCGGATAAATCAAACTCGGGTACTATTTTTCAACTGTGTCACTGAATCAGTTCAGTGTTACGTATGGACACCAAGCATTCTGTGACACAAGTCTGGTCATTCATCTAGCCATCCCATACTGCATCACTTCTCACTACCCCTTCCTTCCAATGCTGTTACAGGCTTGTATGACTGTGCTTCAGGTTTTAAATTGTATTTAAACCAGTCTGTGTTATGTATGTTCATGATCAGAGTTGCTTATAGTGGACTCATTGGATAAACTGCTCTTTGCCAAATTAATATGGTGGATAGCTGAACTTTGTAGCCCATCTCAACTGTTACTAGTTCTGTGTAGCAGTGTCAGCTTTGTGGCTGCAGCCACAGGCTTGGCTAGTGGGAGACAAGCACTGAAATTGATGGTTCCTAGTCAGTTTCATGGCTTATAAATAACAGCTGGGAAACTGACCTGCAGCTGATTAAGTCTGTTGGCTTTGTAATGCCAAGGTAATTGCCCTGTTAGGCATGAGGAGGGGAGCAAACAGTTGAGAGCGGTCTGTTGCTTGCAAGAACTAGCCATCATGTTTAATACACTGAAGGCCTTTAGTATTGAGATTAACGAGAAATGCAAATTGTTTGTTCCCTTTGCACAACTTAAATGCTGGTCCAGGTTATCCATGAGTGTCTTCAGTGGCTTTGAGTGTACCAGTAGTTTTAATTGATTATATGAGTGTCTGAGAATAAATGCTAAGAACACACTATACCAGCCAGTGATGGGCTTCAGTGGAAGTACTATCTTTTTGTATAAAGTTCCCACCTTTTCTGTGAAGGTATTCCATTTTTCATAGAGAATATTCCCATGGTCATCCTCTTATTTTCTCAGAGAGAAATTGAAAGTTGGCCCATTGAGAACCAATTTGTGAATGTTCTTTCTTGTTCCAAAAGACACTTGTCCATTTTCCAGGAAACTAGCTTCATTTTTAGCCTACTTAAATACTATTTAAAATACTGAATTTGAATAAGATGTGATTCTGGTTAAGACATTTTAAAAACTTAAAATCTGTGTTCCATGTCCATAATATATCATGTCCAGTTATTTTCTGAAGACTTCTAAAATGTTGTCTTTCAGTGTTTTGAAAATTTAAAGAAATTGAAAGAGAAAAATCAAAATAAATGACATGTATACAATTAGTGTCTTAGAGGAAAATATATAATATGTATCCAGTAATCTTTTATGTTTAATTCAGACATCTTCACCTGATTCTTCCAATGAGAATTCCCCAGCTACTCCGCCTGATGAACAGGGTCAAGGGGATGCCCCACCCCAGCTTGAAGATGAGGAGCCTGCATTTCCCCACACAGACCTGGCAAAGCTGGATGACATGATCAACAGGTATTTTAAGACTTAAGCACTGTTTCTGATGTCATTAGTTATTTGTCAAATCTCGTTAATATTACACACAAGACTGGAATCACGTTCTGTTTAATTGGATTTCTTATCAAAATTAAATTATTTTTGTTAATATAGTATTCAGAATGAAAGGGCAGTAAGAACTGAAATTGTGATTTACAAAAGGTTTTCCAAAGTGGGCTGCCTTCAGCAGTTTAATTAGGAATAATTGTTTTTAAAGGCACAAGTTAAAGATCGGTATTTGACAAACAATTAAAATGCAGGGATTTTTGGTCTTTTTTGTGTGTGTTTTTATTTTCCTAATTCAGGCCTCGATGGGTTGTTCCTGTGTTGCCGAAAGGGGAATTAGAAGTTCTTCTAGAAGCTGCTATTGACCTTAGTAAAAAAGGTATGTTGAAAATAGTTTACTAGAGCAATGTGTAATTCTCTTTTTTTTTTCTGAAGGTATTCTGCTTCCCTCTTGGAGCCTTAAGGATAATGTATAGTTTTTTTAATACACTTCATCCCAAAGATTCCAAGTCCTAGACAAGCATATGGAGCTTCACGGATCTGAAATTTTCAACATAGTAGCTAGGAGCTTGGTGCCTTGATACAAGCACCAGGGTACACTGATCCCACACTATAAGTCTTGTCAGTCCTGTCCCATTTGTTTTTCTTCATTTTTATTTGCATATAAAGACCCATCAGATCTGCATTCTTGACAGATTTTTAATATTTAACTTCAAGATTTAATGGTTTTCTGTATTTTCCTTTAAATTACTAATGTAATTTTGACATGTACCTTGCCAAAATGTTTCTTCAAAATCAATAGTTAGGTTCCCAAGGAGGGTAATAGAAAATGAAGGTTTTGACTATATACAGACAGTGTGATGTAAACAGAATAATTTTCACCCTACATAATAATTTGCTGCATCTGCCTCATATGGAGCTTCTCTTCTGGGTTGTTTGTGTTCAGCAGATCATGGTAGGTCAGTGGCATGTCTTATGCTTCTAGAAAGATGCTTTGGTCTCTATTGACAAAGCATATTTCCATCCCCATTAAGCAGTAGCCGCGGGAAAAAATATTATTTGCGAGGGGAGCTGAGGGCCACTGTAGGGCCAGCATGCGCTGGTGCTGTTCAGCATTGGAGAAGCGCATGGCAGGGTCATGGCAGTAGCATCGAGCAGCGCCAGGCGCTGTGGGATAGTGGAGCCATGGTGCTGCTGCTATCGCCAGCCGCCACAAAATTAGTTTTGGCGGGGCTAAGCCCTGTTACCCCCGGCCTTCTGCTGCTTATGCCACTAAGTGAGCAATCTCAAAAGTCAGAAAAACATTTTTTTTTCCCTCTAATGTACCAGCTAATTTTGTTTATACAAGTTGCCTGTCCCTGAAATTGGGATAATTTGATTTGGCTAATTTGGCTGCCTTGATTAAACATTTATTACTTGGCAATTTGAGGAATAAAGTTTTGCAATTAGCATATAGTTCTGTTCTGTCTGCCACAACAACATTGTATCAGTATTTGTCCTCTAGTTTGGAGCACCTGCTGGAGGTAAACTAGGTTTTTGGCTGCATTTTAGTGAGCCAAGGGAGGATATGACCCACAGAGTGGCCTCTAGCAGAAATCTTTAGGTCGTCATAGCTCTTTCAAGAGGTCACACCTATTCAAAGCCAAAACAGGTACTGTCTTTGAAAAAACTGAAAGATACAACAGTGTATGTCTTTGAGACTGGAACAGATTATTAGGAAGAAATTCTGGTCTTAGGGCTGAGTGTTTGGATGCATCCAGTTGCTCTATATCTGCCTTAAAATTGTAAAACCATAATCAGTATACCAAACTAATGTAACCTGAAAACTTCTTCCACTGCCCTACTGATTATGTTTACATCCTCTATGACAAAGCATCAGATTTGACTTTCATTTGAAGAACTTTTATGGCTGCTTCTGTTCTTTTTTCCCCTAGAGATCTGTAAAAATGCTGTGTAGAGCTCCATTCGTGCACTTTTAAGCACCACTGTTCTCTGAATTTTTAGTGTCTTATTCTGATGATCATTTCAGGCAAACATTTCTGCATTTGCTATTTTAAACACTATTTCTCATTCCATTCAGTGATGGTTATAGTATTGTTCACTTACAGATAAGTGGATGTAGGTACAGATAATTGTCACAAAGAGAGGTCTAGTATGTTAGATGGAAAGGGATTAAAATTGAAAGATAATTCAAGTCCTAACATGGCTATCAGCACAACTTTTGCACTGAGAACTTTGCTGCATTAGAACATTGGAAGCATGAAATACCAGAACTGTTACGGTCACTAGACTATTAAATGATTACACAGTCTGTATTTGTTATGTCATGTTGGGCAATGTGGCAATAGGGTAACTATACGGGTAGGTGAGTGAGGCAAAAGTCTCAGTTGCTGCCTAAAGGGAGAGTGCCAGAATAGAGCCCTGACTGGTGGAGTGGCCCTTCCTGTTCACCCTCTCTGCACCTTCTCTGTAGTGTTTCTGGCAGTGGGGAGGGCAGAGAAGCAGCAGCAGCACATAGTGCAGGTACAGTGCCTAGAGGTTCACTGCTGTTTTGGGGGAGATCCTTTTCCTGCTGCTGAAAACCAGTCATTTTTTGGCTGCTTGACACTCATATTAGCAGCAAAAGTGTTGGCTCCTACAGCAGGAGCGAAGCTCCAAGCACTACTACTTGTGCTGCTACCAGTGCTGGAGCCAGTCCGTCAGCTGGAGCAGGGAAGGTGCAGTGTGTGGGGGGTGCAATACTGGCTAGTAGGGTCTCTGCAGTGTGGCTTAGTGTTTAGCATTGGGTTGGGATTATGGATCTGGATTCTCTTCCTGGCTCTGACAGTGACCTGCCAGTGATTCTGAGCAAGCCACTTCACTCTTATGCCTCAGTGTCCCTACCTATTAAATTTGAATAATGCTACTAATCTTTTCTGCGTGTGCTTTGCAAAGATCTGTTGATTTAAACAGTGCCATGTAAGAACTAAGTAATATTAATATCTCTTCTAATGTGAGAGGGAGGACTTGGGAGAAATATTTAGATGGTCCAGCCATTCTTTTATTTTATTTATTGTTGGTTGTCTGATGGCATTACTTAGTCTTACAGAAATGTTTTCTTTTTTTTCAAGGCATCAGTGTATTCTTAGCCTAAAAAGCTACTCTCAACAGTAGATTGAAGTAACCCAATGATGGGGGCTACTTCTGTTTGAAGGAACGGTTTTCCTTTATTCAGTATTAAATCATTACAAAATATCTAAAATAAGGGAGAGGATCCTTAACAGGAAAAGCTACTTTAAAAAAAATAAATGTCAAGTTGAATTGTAGAATCATAAACATTAGAAGGGACTTCAGGAGGTCATCTAGGCCTAACCCCACGCTCAAAGCAGAACCATCCCCAACTATATCATCTCAGCTAATGCTTTGTCTAGCTGGGTCTTGAATCTCAAGGATGGAGACTCCACAACTTCTCTGGGTAACCTGTTCTAGTTGTTGCAACTTGAAACCATTGTTCTTCGTTCTGTCATCTGCCACAACTGAGAACAGTCTAGCTTCATGCTCTTTGGAACACCCCCCCTCAGGTAGTTGAAGGCTGCTATTAAATCCCCCCTCAGTCTTCTCTTCTCCAGACTAAATAAGGTCAGTTCCCTCAGCTTCTCTTCAGAAGTCATGTGCCCTAGCCTCCTCATCATTTTCGTTGCTTTCTGTTGGACTCTGTCCAATTTGTCCGCATCCTTTCTATTGTGAGGGGCCCAAAACTGGACACAGTACTCCAGATGTGGCCTCACCAGTGCTGAATAGAGGGGAATAATCACTTCCCTCGATCTGCTGGCACGTTCCTACTAATGCTGGTAAATGGCATTCTTTTACAATTTATAAAGTGACCAAATCTGAAATAGAAAGGTCTACCTTTCTGCTGAATTTCACGTCTGCTGCAATGGAGGTAATAGAGCTTTTCAACAAGAAGACTTTTCTAATGGGAAATATTAGGCAACCCAGTTATAGGACTAGCTGATCATCAGCTGGAACTGCACTGGGGCTTGTTGGAGACTCTGGCTCGGTTTTAACCTGCCACGCATTCAGTTTAAGGTGTGATGAAAACCAGCCACCAAAATATCACGTTTTTTCTTTGTAATATTTTTGCAGCAGGTTTCCCTTTCTAGTGGCACCGTTATTTCCCTGTGAATGTGGCTGTGGTACTTCCTAAGACATACTACCTAAGAGGTGATTAACAGACTAATCTCACCTCTTACATGTAAAGTCTACCAGGTGCCTCACTTGTACATTCTGTCTCTTGACACTATCATCTCTTTCATGCACTAGTCTGTTAAGTTTAATAAACAGAAGTATTTAAGGTAGTTCAGGAACCCAGTTTCACCATCAGATTTCCCATGTTTATGCTGCTGTTGTCCCATCCTTCCAGTTACATTAGTAGTTGATGGCAGTTCTCAGTATGTATTGAAATTGCTGAAGCTTGTAAGAATTCAAAAGGCATACATAGTAAGAATAGTAGCTATAGCTAGCTCCTGAGTTTAACTTTCAGCTCTGCCACTGACACAGTTTGTCAAATATGAAAACAACTTAGCTTCCTTATATCTGTAAATCTATAAACAAAATCCATAATTGCTTGTTCCTATATTTTTAAAGGTTTTAGCTTTTGAGGGTGAAGTATTTTGAAATTCTTGTAGGTCAGGAATTTGGTGTAGTCCAAAATTTGAATATTGTCAATGTTATGCTAAGAGTCCAATTGAATAAAAACATGTGATATATGAACTAATTGTTCTCTTCCTTTTTTCCCAATAGGCCTTGATGTTAAAAGTGAAGCATGTCAGCGATTTTTTCGAGATGGGCTAACAATATCTTTCACAAAAATCCTTACAGATGAGGCAGTGAGTGGTTGGAAGTTTGAAATTCATGTGAGTTTATTTGCTTTTCATAAATGCAATTCAGTTTAAAGTAGGGGAGGGGCTGGAGAGGTGGTCTGTTCATTCGTTATTGAAAATCTTCTTTCTTCCAGTTCTGTATATGTGTATGGCCTTTGGAACATTTCATCCTTCCCATCACATATGACATTGTCATGGTCTGATGGATGGGTTTTGGAAGGAATCAAACTTACCGGCTGGTACTGTGGGGAATCAGTTTCTTCTTTCTGCATTTATTAATTCAACCCCTTCTTGGGCTCCTAACTACACTAGGCAGATGTGTGTAGTCCTACCTATTTTTCTATTTAGTTCAGCAGCTTTGAGAATTGTTTTTAGGCTCTGAGACGCTTAGAAACTTGGCTTATTAGTGTATGTTAAGTGGCAACTATGTAAATGTTGACACTTTCCTCACTCAAACCCTAGCCATGTGCCAAATATGGAGTCGTGAAGTTTCTGGTGAGTGAATTAAATCTTAAAAAAAAAAAAAAAAAAAAACAGGCAGGGAAAAATATTATTTCCCTACTTGCTCATAAGTGAATTATTAAAACAAAAAAAACCTGAAAAGATTTCTCCTTATCTTTCTAAAAACAAACCAAATTAATCTTTGTGAGAAACCAGGCATAAAGACTTTCAGTTCCAGAAAAAATGTTTAGAGAAAAGAGAGAAAAATGTACAACTTTCTCTTATAAAGACTGTTTTTGTAATTCTTTGCTAATGAGAGCATAACAATATTTTATTATTATTTTAGAATTTAGTCATCTGCTGAAAGCACTAAGCATTTGTTTCTTAATAGAGGTGTATTATCAACAACACTCATCGCCTAGTAGAGCTTTGCGTGGCCAAGCTATCCCAAGACTGGTTTCCTCTTCTTGAACTTCTTGCCATGGCCTTAAATCCTCATTGCAAATTCCATCTCTACAATGGTACACGTCCCTCTGAAACAGTTCCTGCGGGAGTTCAGCTGGCTGAGGATGAACTTTATGCCCGACCACCTGACCCTCGATCACCAAAGGTATAGTGGGGTTTTTGTAAACTTAAGCTGATAATTTTCATATTTAATATTTTATTTAAAAAATTACTATCCAATTAGTGAGTTGGCATCTGTTGAAGGAGACTTTCCTGGAAAAAACAAACAAATTAACAAAACGGTGCCTAAGCATCTAGTATAAACTAGTTCAATAAAATATAAAAACATACCCATTAGTTTCCAGCCTTGGGAGTAATAACCAAAGTGAAGGGCAACATATACAAGCAAAACATTACTGTGGATCAGCCTTCAATCTGAGGTCATTATTTTAACACTTTTGAAACCCTGTTGTAAGCCTGCTGTGGCACCTGTTGCTTCCTTGAATCTATCTGTTGGATCCACTGTTAAACTTTGTGGCTCAGGCTTGTCCTATCAGACACCTGAAGCACCTTCATTTGAACGCATCAGGTGCATTTTTTCTGCATGTTTAAAGGTAAAAGAAAGAATATCATCTTTTTCTCTTCCAGAAAATAATGGTCCAGCATCATGAAGTTGTAGTAGCTATCTTTCTATCTGATCTTTGGTGAAAATTACCTTCTTCTTTTTTTTATATTCTGGATTTATCCTATAGGCCTAAAATTACCTTGAAGGTCTCAAGGGTTTATTACAGTTGGTAAAATTACCTTATTAAATCCAACATCTAGACTGGCAATTCCTAAGAAAGCAGACAACTTGTATCAGTTGATTTTTTTTATCATAACTCCAAATTGATTAACAATGTTGGTTATAATTTGAAGAGCTAAATAGAGACTATAATAATATTACTTATGGAATTGTGGGTAGTTTGAACATTAGGCCACATGGGTAAGACGGTATTACCTCTGGGGGGGAAATTGGCATTGATCATACAGATATTGTTGGAAGAACAGGAAGAGCTGGCCAGAGCCCTCATGAGTGAAAATCGGATGCTAATTACTCATTGAGAGAGGTGCCAAAGGATGTGGCTGTGACATCAGAAGCTGTAGTATCCACCATTATTTTGAAGCATCTGCACTGAGCAGTTCTGGTGTGCAGACTAGATTCAGCACCATAGATGCTGCACACAGCATAGGCTCAGTTTGGGGTACATGCTGCAGGCACTGCCCACACCAGAAGCTATATGTAAGCTGCTATAGCTAGAAAAGAATAATCAAATACAGAATGGGAGAAAAATGTTTGCCTTTGCTACTGCACCTTTATGTAGTACCTCATATTAAAGGTACTTAATGCGCAGGAGCAAAGGCGCATTAATGAATGTGTAGCCATGCCCAGTAGGTCATAGTGCCACTGTACTTGGTAGTGGTTAGGCCTCGAAGTATTGTGTGCAGTTCTGGGCTCTAACTTTTAAGAAAGATATATAGAAGTTGGAGTTGCTTTGGAGATGGACAACAAGTGTTAAAGGACTTGGGACACAATCCATATAAGGAAGCATTGAGACAACTAGGCATGTTTAGCTTGGAGAAAAGACAAGTACTGTATTTACCCAAATCCAAGATACCTTTGAATTTTAAGACTCCTTCCCTCTCCTCCCCAATAATTAGATTCTGTACATGCAAAACTATAAGCATATTATTTTCTATGTGTAAAATAAAATCTAATTACTGGGGAGTCATCTTTAAATTCATCTATCCGTCCCTGTCTACTCCACTGCTGTCACAGGGAATGCAGCTGCAGGAGGTGAGGGGCTAGATCCACTCCCTGCCTACCCCTGTGATGCTTATCCCTTGCCCCTACCCTCCCATCTGCCACTCTGCTGCCAGTTTCCAGTGTCTGCTGTCCCCATTCCATGCTTGTGCCTGACCCCCTCCCCCCCGTATCAGGCAGTCCTCGACTTACAACATTTCAGACTTACAACGTTTATAAATTTGACACCCTGTTTCAACTTGGATGTCAGTTTCGACTTTACAACACTTGATCTGATGTGATGCCATGCCAGCAAACTAGTTTGCTGCATCGCTTATCTCCCTGGAGAACATCTGTCCAAACTTCCGTGGACACTTTCTTTAAGAAAGCAGCCAAGACTCCAGAAAAACCTTCAGCCAAGACTCCTGAGAAGCCTCCAGCCAAGAACCCTTCAAAAAGTCCAACCAAGCACCTTTCAAAAAGTCCAGCAAAGTCACCTCAAAGAAGTCCTTCCAAATCAATATAATTGCATTTACAATATAAATACATTAATGTAGCTATGTTACTCATCTATAATTGATCGATTACAAGATTCTGGGGTGTTTTTGGTGAAAATAGGGTATCAGGCCTTGGTTCAGGGACCGATCTTCCATTTATAACATTGTTTCTTATGAGAAAATTGGTTCTGAGTTGCGGTGTTTCAACTTAAGATACGGTTCTCAGGAACCAATTGTGTCATAAGTCCAAGGACTGCCTGTACTTTGCAAAGGAGGGAGCTATTCCTATTTTACAGAAATGGAGAAGTGAAGTGATTTTTTTTCCCCCAGCATCATTTAACAGGGCTAAAGCTGAGAAGAGAGACCAGGTCTCCTGAATTTCACTCCATTGCTCGGTCAGATGGCTAGAGCCCACACTGTCTCCACATACATTTGCAAGTATTTTACCTTAGATCTTGCTCTTGCTGAGGGGAAGCTAACCTATGGAGTTAGATGCTTAGTGATTAATATTTTTTTTTTTTATTGGGTCTAAGGAAATCACCAGTTTGCCTTTTCCTGGAGTAAGAATAAAGGTCAGACATTTGCATCTCACTGTCTTTAAGTGGAATATAACACTTCAACAAAAAGTCTAAATATACTATTTTTCCTTCTGTCAAAGGGTTTAGAAAGCACTTGACTAGAATGAATGCCTCTTCCATGGCCTGCCTCAAACATATTAAAAAATAGTAGAGCTGCCATTAGAGCTTGATTCATACTTAAAAAAAAATTTTCCTTAGATCTGCCATCTAGCATAGATGCAGAGCTTGTTAAAGCAGCATCATAATGTCTGTTTAGCTCAACTATCGATCTACCAAAATATAGCCTGCCAAACTTTCATGAGTGACAGTGGTCAGAAGACACTCAAGGAAGTAATGGAGGTTATATGCTTATAATGTTCTTGCATTGTACCAATCACTTCCAAATTAGGTGTACATATTTTCTAAAGAAACTGTGTTTACGTAGATACTAAATTTAGTAGAAGTAAGATGTCTGGGTTAAATGGTGGGGCAAATCTATGCCCATTTTTGGTGATTGCATGTGATTAGAAGAACTATTTAATATAGCAAAATGTGAATTTTCCTGTGATATGATGAAGAAAAGTAGGCAAGTCACCCCGAGGGAATAAGTCTTATTTTAGAAAAATGTTCTTTATATATGGATATTCAGTGATACAGGGAGATATTGGGTAGGAAGAGATCTGGGGAGAGGTGATTATTACATTTTTATAGGTATAGTGCACTTGTCTTACTGTTTGAAGTTTTATCAGAGATGTACGTTTATAGCAGTATTGTTGAACCACTGTTGCTAAATGAGTGTTTGATAATCTTATTAGGGTTTCTTAAAGGAAATATTTTTATTTAAGGAAATAAGAATTGGGTGAAATCCTTGTCACGTCAAGCTCAATTTTGGCATTGATTTTAACGAGGCTGGGAGTTCACCTAAAGAATGTCATCTTGCTTTACTTTTGTTAGTTGGTGGATTAATTTGCTCAAAACTAGGAACGTCTTTTAAAAAAGAGGATTCATATTATTAAGTGAAAAATAAGCCAACAAATGTGTACATAGCAAAATTGGCAAAGAATACTTATGAGTAGATATTTAGTTACTGTTCAGTACTCAAGGCTAGCCATCTACTAAAATATTTTTGACAAATGTGTGCATGCTAAATTGTGTATTAAACTTGCTTGTTTGGTTATAAAGACAGAATTGTCCTTTAGTTTTTGCTGTGCATTTAGAAACAGTATGTCCTAAGTTGCATAGAGGAATCGTGCGCAACTTCTATTGCTTTTGCCAGGCTGTTGTGCAATGATAGAACAAAACAAAAGTGATTATTTTTGTTTTGTAGTGGCTTATAATTTAAAGATACATTTTTCTAAAAACAAACAAACAAACCAACCACTTTCTTGTATTTCAGGGTTGGCTAGTAGATCTCATCAACAAGTTTGGCACATTAAATGGGTTTCAGATCCTGCATGATCGTTTTATGAGTGGATCAGCATTGAATGTCCAAATAATTGCAGCTCTCATCAAGTAAGTTCCTTAGAAAGCAATCTTTTATCTCCATTTTATAGTTGGGAGGTGTTCATTAGCATTAAAAAGTTAATATGAAACAGAAGATCTGGTTATCCGTTTAATTCTTGGGGGATGATATGTGATCTGCTGTCTTGTTACCTTTACTACCTTGTTTTCTTTGGTTGCTTGTTTACTTGGGAGTTAGCTGGGTTTCTCAACAGAGTACTTCAGCATCTTAATAAAATTAGTCAAGTATTCACATTACATTACTCATCTTTTTGTTTTTTCAGACCATTTGGACAATGCTATGAGTTTCTAACGCTACATACGGTGAAGAAATACTTCCTTCCAATTATAGAAATGGTTCCACAGTTCTTAGAAAACTTAACTGATGATGAACTGAAAAAAGAAGCAAAGAATGAAGCCAAAAATGATGCTTTGTCAATGATAATCAAATCTCTAAAGAACTTAGCTTCAAGAGTCCCAGGGCAAGAAGAAACTGTAAAAAACTTAGAAATATTTAGGTTAAAAATGATACTTAGGTAAGATGTTTTTCCTGTTATAGTGTGGGCTTTTCTGTAATTTTGTTTACACATCTTGCACTTACCTTTTCTTACAGATTGTTACAAATTTCTTCTTTCAATGGTAAAATGAATGCACTAAATGAAGTTAACAAGGTGATATCTAGCGTGTCATATTATACTCATCGGCATGGTAATCCTGAAGAAGAGGAATGGCTTACAGCAGAAAGAATGGCAGTAAGTTGTTTTGTTCTTTGCCTAAATCATGTAGTATGGTGGATTGTTTTTTGCATGTTTGTTTCTTTAAGCATAGCTGTGTGTGTGTATACACATACATACAAATATATGTACTCTGGATTCCTATCCTTTGCTTGTCTCTCTGGTAATGAAAATTAGAGTATTTATAGCTACTGTTTATGGCATGATTAATGCATTAATTGTGCCATAATATAATGTCTGACAGGGACCTGTGAGAAGTAAGTAGAGCTTGTTTTGACACATCTGTGGAATTTGGTGTCAAGGGCTAGCTTGTGCTAATATAATGAAATCTTTTTTGCAATAGCTGTTCTGCAAAACTTGAAAATGTGGTGCTGATAACTGAAATGTTTCCATTTAACTAAGGTTGCCTAAGTCTTTCAGGGCACCAACTGGAATCTTCCAGTTGTGTAATCAAGAACAGTTAGTTGAAAGGAATATCTGTTTATTCTCTTCTTGATTCTGGCCTTCCACATATATTCTGCTTCTGCCTCAGTCTGAACCAACAAGCTAAATTACATTTATGCCTTGAGTGGCATCAGTTACCCTTAGAAGATGGCATTAAAAATATTCCTAAATCTTGCTTCAACTCTTGCCTCTAAATTCAGGTAGTAATTGAGACGTATATACAGATAAATAGTATCTTTCAAATTCTGGCTCGTTTTCTGATTGTCTTCTAGTGTTTAGTTGTTCTCTTTCTATGTAATATGCCATACTATGATGAGTTGACTGAAGTGTCTTCAGTGAGTTAGTTCTGACATTTGGATAATTCAGTTGCTTAAAAAAACAGTATATGCTCAGTCATCCCCCCCACCACCTTTGACACTTGAAGATATTGAGAATTTTTATGTTCAGAGATCAGGATTTTTTCAAGCATGGTGAAACTGAAGTTGGTATCCTTTTCCACTGAAGTTCTTAATCTCCCAGATGTGGTAAATATCACTGATAATGCTTTTAGAGCACAGCTGCAGGAAAAGATTTCCTTTTCTATGTTTTACAATGAGTCAGGTTTCAAAACGTGTAAAATCCGGATTTGCTTTGTTTTTTGCTTGTCTAACGTAAGTGAAAGGGAAGGATAAATGCCTGCCCTTGTGTGTGTATTTTTTTTATTTTTTAGAGATGGAGTGATTGTATATAAAGTATATATTCTGTTTCAGGTTTGTATTTTCTTGACTAGAAATTGTGTTCTCAAAATTTTAGTATTTTGAAAATTGTTTTCTACCCGTCAATTTAAATTTAGGAATGGATCCAACAGAATAATATTTTATCAATTGTGTTACGAGATAGTCTTCATCAACCTCAATATGTAGAAAAGTTAGAGAAGATTCTTCGGTTTGTCATCAAAGAAAAAGCCTTAACTTTGCAAGATCTTGACAACATTTGGGCAGCACAGGTAAAGAATTGAATTGTTTTATGCGTGAAGAGTAGTGGTCTTATCTTACATCACCTTTTGACAGTAGGTTGAATTTTATGAATGGCATAATTTATTCCATAAAAGCAAGTTATTATGGAAGAGTATTAGATTTCATAAAGGAGAGTGTGCTTTCAGGGCTGCTTGTGGTTATGATGCCTGTTATAAGCAAAAAGCACATTATGAAAGTTCATTTTTAAACTTCTGGATGGATTCACCTCAGGTTGTGTTTTTGGATATGCTACATGTGTAATGCAAGGACCAACTGTAAGACAGGGGGAATTCAGGATGCATAGAAGACAGGTTTATTTAAGATCTATTAAAACTCAAGCAATTGTTGGTGAGAAGATTTCAAGAAGTCATATATTAAGAGGAGAATTTACCTCGGTTGTAAATGAACCAGCTTACTAAATAGTTTTTCTTCAGAATTATTTTACATATGAGCTAAATAACAGTGGGAGCTATGAGAGACTAAGACAGGATACTTAAGTGTGAATTTCTGGTATTTAGGATAAAATACAGTAAAAGCTCTGTTATCCAGCATCCCCTGGGAATAGGGGATGCTGGTTAATCAAATATTCCAGTTAATCAGATGTGCACCATGTGGTGCTCTCCTCAGTGTCAGTGTACCAGGGGACAGGGAAGGGGGATCTGCACAGGCTGCTTTGCCCTGGGCCGAAGAACTGGCAAGAACTGCTCACAGTGGCGGTGAAACCCCGAAGTGGTACTTCTGGTTTCGCTTTTGCCATGTCGCTCAGATGTCGGTAATAGAGTTTTCCGACTAAGAAAGTGCCGGTTAATGCAGCTTTTGCTGTAGTATAACCTTTAGTCTAAACAACGCTTTGCTATCCTACTAAATGGAGTTAAGAAGAGTGGCTGTTCCACAGGAAGTAGAGGTTACAGATACTTTTGTTCACATATGTCTTGTGAACCATGTGCAGCCCACTAAGCTGTTACACTCTGCCTATGGGGCTCCCAGAGGGGCTGGGGATGTGGGGGCAGGGCCTGCCACTGAACTAGTGATGGAGTCCCAATGAGCACGTGTGCCAGCAGCATGGGGGCAAGTGAGAGCTGGGTCTGAATCCAGCCTGGGAGGCTCTGTGCAGTCTGTATCTGGCCTGCAAAGAGTCCCATAGTCCAGATTTGAGCTTGAGGGTGCAGCCAAGTTTGACGTCTCTGTATTAGAAGATCAGAACCAAAATTAGCTGTCTGGAATGCCTGGTATAGAAAGAGCAGTGTTGAAGTGATGTTGTAGCCATGATGGTAAGGATATTTTTGGAGGTGGTATCTTTTATTGGAACAACTGCATGATTGGGAGAGATTTTCCAAGCATTTGGGCACAAAGTACCACTCTTCAGATTTCAGAAAGAAGCAGACAGAGCTTGAACAATAGCCTGGTTAAAACCCCATGAGTACATAAAAACAGCCTGCTTTAAAGCAGGGTTGTCAGCCTACAGCCTGAGGAACTGTCTTCTGGCCCACGGTACTCCCAGAGGTCTGGGAACTTAGGGTCTGCTGCAAAGGGAGAGCAACAGCTGTACTAGACCCCATGGATGCTGCTTGCTTTGCCACTGGATCTGGGACCCACCTGCAAGGAGGGGCAAGTTTGATGCTCCTGGCTTAGGGGAGTGGAGCAGAGCTGTAAAAAGAGCAAAGAGACATTATCAGGACTACAGTAAAAGTTCTGTTATCTGGCAGCCCCCAAGAATGGGGGATGCCAGATGACAAAATATACCGGTTAACTGAGTGGCCTGGGCTGCTGCCCCTCCCACTGCATCTGGGGTGTCCTGCTGCCCCTCCAGGCCCTGCGGCCTCCACAGGACAGGGAGGCAGGCCCTGTTATGCCCCTGGGCTTTGGGGGCTCAGCAGCACACGCTGCTTTACCTCAGGCTGTGGGGGCTCAGAGAAACCAGACGTGCCATGGCTGGCACTTCCAGTTTCACTTGACAAGCCGTCATGCCGGCTAATTGAGCATGCTGGCTTGTAAGATGCTGATTTTAACAGAGCTTTTACTGTAATTAAAAAAAACAAACAAACAAACAAAAAACAAATGGAGAAATGCAGAAGGAAAGAACCTGAAAAGTGGAAGAGCAACACCATTCAAGAGGGGAGAAGGATTCTAGTCACCTATGGAGTGCAGAAAGAACAGCAGGTAGATTATAATGAGCCATAAAGTCACTGTCTGTGCTTCATGCCTGGCTTTTGGTATCCAGTAAAGGTACAAATTTCCTTTGTTCCTGAGCCCATCTTTTTCAGTGTATTTTGTAAATTTCCCTTGAATCCAAATATTGTGAATTTAGTGTGAGTGGTAGTACTGTAAAAAATGTTTTCCTGCCTTTGTTTGCAGTTTGGAATGACTTATGTGGTACATGGTGAGATGAGGAGGAAAAAAATAAATTGGTGGGACACACTAATTCCTACTTACTGGTCAATTAGAAAAGGGATTTGAGATCACAGTAGGGCAGGAGAAGGGAAAAAATTGCCCCCCGTCGAAGAAACTAGAAAAAATAATCAAATGATCATCATGTGATAGATGAGCATGGCGAAAGATCTGTTCGGTTATAAATTATAGGAAACAGTGACTAATCCAGGTGTAAGAGTAAAGTTTAGGTCAGTGTGTCATTTGGGTGGAAGGGCTAAATTTAATTTTTTATTTTATTCTACTCATTAACTCGGGTAAGTATAAATTTAGGAATGAGAAGTAGCACTTATTCCCTCTTTGGGAAGCTTAGTCACAGAGCAACTTAAGTAACTTGCCTAGTGGCATTCAGATTGTAAATTAAGACTACTCAACTTGCAGGCAGCTGAGGACTGCACAAGGCATAGGTGGGAGGAGGGCAGAGGCAGTCATGGTGAGAGCCTGTATGGAACATACTGCTTGGGGGCCACATGCGGTCTGCAGGCTACCAGTTGGACAGCTGTGACAAGTGATAGGGCAGGCAGTTTGAAATTAAATCTCCTGAGTTTTGGACCGCAAACTCCATAACTCAGCAAATGACAACTTTCAGAGCCATGGGCTGGAACAGCCCAGGTAGGATCTGAGGCAGGTTGGTGTTCTGAGTTGGCCACCTCTACTGGAGTGGTAGTGGCTTTTCTTGCCTCCCACCTGCAGTACAGGCACAGCTCTTTGCCTTCTGGTAATGGCACAAGCATGGCCAAAGCCCCCACCACTGGAACACCCCTGAGACTTCTTGGTTATAGACACCGGATCCGGTAGCTCCATGGGTTCGATGCGTCTAGCCCCTGGCCTTAATTGTGGACCTCCCATCATTCCAAAGCCATCTTTTTTTCAGCCTGTGTTTTGCAGTCTCAGCAAAAAAAGATGCTGTTTTAGTTCACAGTCAAATCCCATTTGTAAAATAGTTGTAATAACTATACTGGTTTCTTAAAATCAGATTTGCAATCTAGTGCATCACTTAGGCCATGTAGATAAATCAACCAGGCTAGGAGATTACTGCAAGGGCCAACACAGCAGTGAGACCGTAAGTAGGGCTGTGCGAAACGGCTGTTTTGATTCGGATTTGACAGTTTCGGAGGACAGTGATTCGTTTTGGTGTTTTGGATCACTATTCTGTTTTGTTTCAGCCGAATCTGTTTCGGAGATTTGGCTCCACTGAATCTCCTCTGAATCTATTTCAGATGGGCTGCAAGGGAATCTTCACGCAGCCCTACCTAGCCAGGTGGGTCTTAGGGCCGGGGACTACAGGACCCCTGCAGGGAGGATGGGGCCCTGTGTGGCTTGTCCGGGAGAGGGGAAGGGCCGCTGCCCTCTGTGCAGGCGAGGAGTCCCCCACACAGATCTCTGATCCCTGTCGCACCAGATCGCAGGGCAGGGAAGCAGCGCAGAGCATCAAGCAAGCCTGCTGGTCCCTGCTGCTCACCTTGGCTCCGCAGAGAGCAGAGATCTACACTAGGGGTGTCATCACTGCTGCCCACCCTGCACTGCCCTGGTGACGTGAGGCGGGCAGCGGTGGTGAGGAGACTCCGGCATGGATTTCTGCTCCCTGCGGAGACAGATCTGTGCCAGGGTCTCCTTCCCACCGCTGCCCACCCCGTGCAGCCCCAGATCTCTGCTACCTGTGGAGTTATTTCACACAGCAGGGACCAGCACTGCCCTGCCATGTGACTAGGCTCTGCAGGGAGCAGAGATCTGTGCCGAGGGTCTTCTCGCTGCCGCTGCCTGCCCTGTGCAGGCTAGGCTGAACAGGGCAGGCAGTGGCAGCAAGAAGACCCCCGACATAGATCTCTGCTCCCTGTGGAGCAGAGTTATGCATCAGGGCAGCAGTGTACAGCTGTTTCCCTGCAAGCCCAGCTCCAAAACTCCAAAATTTCTCAAAACATTTTTGAAATGTTTTGGATGCCTCATTTCATTTCGGAGATGTTTCTGAGCCTTCCGTTTTGATTCAGTGTTTTGAAACAGCCCAAAACACCTCCAAAACTAAACAGCTTCTGAAATTTCGCACAGCCCTAATAGTAAGGGATTATGAAAAGATGAAAGACTCTAACTCTGCTAATAGATACTTAGAAGTCATTCTGTATTGTTGCTGCTGCTGCTGCTACCACCTGATTGCAGAGCAGTTTGAAGAAATGGTCATATTTTATATAAGACTTTTTTAGAGAAGATTGTGCAACTTGCCTGGCAGAAGTTTTGCTTAGGAGGGCCGTTGTGTAACTTAATGTGTGATTAAAATTACAGGAGCCAACTTTGATTTTATTAAAGATGCAGTAGGAATCGTTACAAGAACAGTCTCAAAGTGGTGCCAAAGCAAAAAGTAAAACTTAGAATATAAAATTAATGGATAGTTTTAAGAATCTGCTCTAAAAGGGCAGCTGCTTTGTATGCCTCTGAATGGAAAAATTTTTGAAGATAAGAGCAGAAATGAACTGGCCTTATTAAACATATGTGTGTTTATGCAAGAGAAATCGTAGTTAAGTAGAAATTCTACTGAAGGCAAATTAGAACACAAACTGCTTTCTATCTGTCACATGAAATTTTAGATATACAAATATAAAATGTGTATGTGACCATTCTTAGCATCTGATGAAGTAGATTGTTTCTTGTGAAAGCTCATGCCTCTCTGAACCAGTTAGTCTCTTAGGTGCCACTTTGCCCTGCTTCATGTGTCCTTTCAGACTGCTGGCTAAATGTCTCTGTAGAAGTGTACATGTGTGATTCCAGCTTTTCTTCTGTGTCAGTGAATGAGGTGGAGTAGTTAAATAATGGAGTAGCAAACGATTTTAAATTTGTATTATGTTCAAGTTTTGTGCTAGAAGACGAGGGAAATTCCTGCTGACAACTTGAATCAGAAAAATTTTAATCTCTGAGAAGCAAGTTCTAGGATAAATTAAGTGCATTGAATTGTAGAACCCAGTTGTAGAAATTAAGTGTAAAATGATATTTAGAATATGGAAGTGTGTGTGTGTGTGTGTGTCTTAAACTGGGGATTTTTTTCTGAAAGCTTCAGAATTGCTATGTGCTTAGTTTTTGTTTTTCTTAAAGAAATAAAAGAAGTAACAGGAGAGTCCAGTGGTTTTAAACTCGTGAGTCCTCCCCATGCTTTCAAGGAAACTTGAGTCTTCTTACAATGGTAGCATAAAGCTAATCTGAAATTAGCAGTGGAAATCATTGTGTTTTATGCTGTTAGTAGGTCTGAAACTTATACCGTAGATTTCAGTGTAACATGTCAAAACATCTCATGAAATCCTGCTTATAAAATTAGTTCATTTGGGTTTGGAAATTTGAAATTCTGCAAGCAAAGAAGAGTAAGTGATAATACCTTAGTTGTAGAGACCTGCCAGAGAAGGAAGGAGGGTGAAATCACAGGGAGTATTTCCCCCTCTTCATTAATAGCTTATGTGCCACTGAGGCTTGCTGCTGCCAGCCAGGAGCATGTTGGAGCCCTTGACTTTGCTGCGCTCCCTGGCTGGGAATGACAGTTGATCTGTTCTCCCAGGCTGCACTGCAGTTTGGAGCCTAAAAGCACAGATCACTCTGCACTCAGCCTCCAGGGTGCAGCTGGTGATATGGCACAGTGGGCATCTGATCCTCAATTGCACATTCTGCCATGCCTATGTAGCATAGCCACAAGCACAATTGTTGGGATTGTGTATCAATCCCATGGTGACTGTCTGCCAAGGGACAGAGCAACAGAAATTGTCACCTTGAATGTAAAGTTTAACGTGGTCATCAAAGAGATTTAGGCTTTAATTCAGGGTTGATTTGGCCCGTATTAAAATAGGTATAGGATAGTTGTTTATGCAAAGCTTGAACTGCAGTTAACCTGCATTAGCTATGATTTGTCTGGGGGCAAAATGTTAATTTGGGTACATCACCAGTACTCAACATGGGATAATAGGATTGGTGGTAGGTTCATAGGGTAAAATACTTCATCTCTGGAGAAATGGGGAAATTTTATGTTTGTTTTTAACCTTACAGATGGTAAACTGGGAAAGTTTGAAAAAGGAAATAAGAACACAGTAATTTTGATTTCTTTGTTTAAATATAGTCTGTTGTTCTTTGTGTAGGAACCTTGGAGTTCATAGCTGTCCACAAAGTGAAAGGCTCGTAAAGTAATAAGAAAGGGTAAAAATATAGAAATATGGATTAAAAATAACAAAATAAGATTAACTTGAGGAAAATAATCAGCAGTGGAATCAATATGGGGGTGAATCTGGAAATAAAATACTAATAGTGGTTTATGGTGGATAAATTAGATAAGAGTAACAATTATCAAAACAACCAAAGTGCAAGTAGCCTTTTTGAATGCATGGTGTTGATGTGGTAAATAAAAGTTAACAATTTTAATTGTTTGTCACCAATAGAATCATAGAATATTAGGGCTGTAAGGGACCTCAAGAAGTCATCTCATCCATCGCCCCTGCTGAAAGCAGGACTATCCCCAACTATATTTAAAGCCTTGTCTATCCAGGTCTTAAAAACCTCTAAGGACAGAGATTCTACGCCCCCCCCCCGGCGCCTGCTTCGGTGCTTTACTACCATCCTAGGGAGAGAGTTTTTCTTAATAGGTAACCTAAACTAGAATTGCAAACAAATGGGGAGGGATCAGGGAAGAATGCTTGTATAACAAGGAAAGTTAGCATTTGTTTGGATGAAAAATGTAAATCCCACCCCCAAAAGTGAAAAATGAAGCTATATGTAGCTGGGATGTATCTTACTACATTTTTTCGTATCATAAACTACAGTTGTTCATTTTTGCTTTTGGCAGGCAGGAAAACATGAAGCCATTGTAAAGAATGTACATGACCTCCTTGCAAAGCTGGCTTGGGATTTCTCTCCTGAACAACTTGATCATTTGTTTGATTGTTTTAAGGTAATGCTGCATATTTCAACTCCTTTATTACTATGTGTCACAAACACAGTTAACAGGCCTTTAAACATAGTGGATGCAGTGTTTAATAATGTGGTTACACATAATATGCAGAATATTGCATTTTTTATGCATTCATGTAATTGAAAATATAAGGATTTTTTGTCTCTACTCTTTCAGCTAATGCACTTTCATTGGAGCTTACAGGCTTACTGCATGTAATTCTGTTCCTTGAATGCTATTGTTTTATTCAGAAAATAAAGGAAATTTTAAAAGCTCTCCTGGTCTGGCAAGGGGAGGCACGGTAACTAGGAGGCAGAGCAGATTTGTACCTCACCCAAAGTAGATATAGATATATCTATAGCACAGACATTTGTTGGCTGATTCTTACTTCATCAGATATGGGTATAGATCCTGTCTATCTGTAATCTACTTTGGTTAGCCTATAAAGTGCAGCTCTACCCTGCCTTCTACTTGACTTCATGTTAAAATGGCTAACTGCATCTCTGCTTGTGGTAACCAGAATAAGAGTAAAATCCTAATAAATAAAAGGCAGATAGGTGGAGTTAAATATTTTGCCCAGGTTTTTGTTAGCTTCCACATAAAGTTAGAAAGTTAACTTGAGGTAGCAGTGAGTTAACATGCCTTAAAGTAACAATGGCCCAGACTGAGCTGCCTTATAGCATCTTTAATCATCCTCTTATCCAGTATCATAAGATTGCATCTGAACTGAAGTCCTCTTATATTGTAGCATTCCATGTTGTCGCTATGATTAATACAGTAAAACCTTGTTAAGTTGAAGCACAGGGGACCAACAAATACTGACCTTGAAATAAATGGGTTTGAATTATCCAAATTGCTACACTGTATTTATTCTATGAAACTACTTTATGGTAGTTGTATAATTTTTTTTCACAGTTTCTTAAAGAGTTTATTGTGGTCCGCTTAACCATCTTACATTGATCATGGACAAATTCATTGATTGTTTGTTTCCGTGTCTTTCTCTGTGGGGTGTCCTAGCTTGCTCTTTTACCACTACTTTCTGCAAAAATTAACATCATCACCTTAGAACTGTGAGTTAACATTCACTGATGTTGAGCCACCCTTCACAAAGTAGTCTCTGATAATATAGGGTGGAACTTTATCCCATGCAATGATGACATTTCTCATAGCATCAAGACGATTCCATTTTTACTGATCTTTTGCATTCCTGGAAACCTCCCACAGTAGATAATGTACCAGTTTTTTCCAGTGTGCCATCTTAATGGGGTGTATTATTCCCTGATCTTGGCCACATGTAGCTCATAGTGCAGGGGTGGGCAAAGTATGGCCCACAGGCCAGATCCGGCCCATGAGGCCATTCTATCCAGCCTGCAGGGCCCCTAAAAATGTAAAAAATTAATATTGAGCGGCCCTTGGTTCCTGTCAGAAATGACGGGAACCAAGGGCAGTAGGACCCAGGGGAAGCCTAGTGGGCTCCCACAACAGCAGGGCCCACCCAGCTCCACCCCCCACCCCAGCCTGGGCTTCTGGCCTGTGAGCATGTGGCTGCCCCCATGCTGGAACCTCAGGTAAGGGTGGTGGGGAGAAGGGCAGGGGGGGACCTTGGGCAGGGAAGGAGTGAGGTGGGGGGAAAAGCTGAGTGCGGGGTCGGGGAAAGTGGCCCCTTCCCCACCCTGTGGCTGGCACCCCACGCTGCTGTAGCTGTTATTACTGCTTAATAGTAAAGTAACTATTAATTTAGGTAGTAATATGTTGTATGTCTGTAGCTCAGCTGTGTGACTTATTGTACTTGTAACCTGGTCGACACTGAAATTTGTCTCTTGACGTGCTAATGCCAAATACAGTAAAAGTTGCGCTATCCTGTACCTTACAAGCTGGCATGCTCTATTAACCGGCATGCCAGCTTGTAAGGGAAAAGCAAAACCAGAAGTGCCCACTGTAGCACTTCCAGTTTTGCCAAGCCCCCACGGCCTGGAGCCCTCCTTCCTGTCCCTTGGGGCTGGCAGGAGGGGCGGCAATGCCCTGGACACAGCGGGAGAGGTGGTGGCCTGAACAGGCAAAGATGCCTATTCATGCCACTCAGTTAATCCGTCATAATTTGTTATCTGGCACCCCTCATTCCCCTTGGGTGCCGGATAACGAAGCTTTTTCTGTATTGTCTATATGCAATAATTTTTAGAACTGTTTTAGGCCCCCTCACCCCTACCAGCTCCTCTTCTGAAGTATGTGCTTACAGTTGCTTTTAAAAACATGGCATTCGTATTTGTAGTTGGAAATACTCTCATTTAATTATTGAGTATTATAGAGCCTGAAGATACACTGGAAATCAGTGGGCACTTCCACACTACCAAATCTGTGTCTACTTTTTCTGATGTACACGTACAATTGGTTTGAGAAGCCTCTAGTCATGTTTTCATGTAATTAAACTATTAAGGCTTACATGCATCCATAGCCCCTCCAGATTTGTTTGTTCCTCCAAATCAGGTCCATATTTACTCATCTGTATTCATATAGGTAAATGCTAATATCATTTGTCGTCTGCTTTGAAAAAGGAGGTGTAGTAATTACATATTATAAGTTTGTTTTGGGTTGGGCAAACTGATAAAAGAAAATTCTGTGTTATCAGGCAGACTTTTGTGTCAGACATATCACAGTTAATAACGTGAAATACAAAATGGCAAAATTTTAATGATTATTTGGAACGCTTTTACAGACAGGCAAGAGAGACGTCAGAAAACAAAACTGAAGTTCACTTAATTTTGGCTGCAGTTCAAAATGTCAGCGGTAACGGTGTAATCAGGTGCTTTACAACAATGGAGCATATTGGTGTTCCTTAAAGGATCCCAAAAAATTTTCTGTTCTTAAAATAAAAAAATAAAGAATTTTGTACAACAATTAGTAATAAACAGGAGGAATAATTGTATCATTTAACTGAAAAAACAGGTTCGCTTATCATTTAACTTACTGTTTGCTGCTTCTTTTGTAACTCGGCATGTATAGAACTAAGTCCTACAGATTTTCATATGGAATAAAATTTTGTTTACCAGGCAAGTTGGACAAACGCAAGCAAAAAACAACGTGAAAAATTACTTGAGTTAATCCGTCGCCTTGCAGAAGATGACAAGGATGGTGTGATGGCACACAAAGTATTGAATCTTCTGTGGAATTTGGCACATAGTGATGATGTACCTGTTGATATCATGGACCAGGCTCTTAGTGCCCATATTAAAATCTTAGATTACAGCTGTTCACAGGTGAGTAATTCAGTATGGTTTTATTGTAAAGTTAGCTGTTGATACTTTCATTAAAATTAGGAGGATGTGGCAGATTAATAGCAAAAGAGTCGTCATGCATAATTCAGTGTCCTTGAACAGCATCAAGGGATTCTTTAAGTGCATGATGGGATATATTTTGAATGTGACACATTCTAGGGTTTATGTTAGAGGGTACTACTTGTAATGTAACTAAGTACAGAGCTGGAAGTTCATGTGGTTCTGATTCCTTACCAGTGCCACCTCACCCCTGTTGTACCCCTGCCAATTATCAGTACCTGGTAATGGTCACTGTTGGATAATTTGCATTTGCCTTTGGAGTGGTAAATTAACCAGTTTACTGTATATGTAAAAATGGGCCCTTGTATCAGGGAAGTCTGCTGTGTGCTAAATTGTGAATACTTTGTTTTTGAAGGATCGGGATACCCAAAAGATACAGTGGATAGATCGTTTTATAGAAGAGCTTCGCACAAATGATAAATGGGTCATTCCTGCGCTGAAACAAATAAGAGAAATTTGTAGTTTGTTTGGTGAAGCACCACAAAATTTGAGGTAAGAATTATAATATGAATGGAACTTTAATTTTTAACAGACTTGGATAAATGTATAGACCTTTAGTTTTTATCAAAAAAGCATAACTAATTAAACCTGAAGTATTAACTTCCTCTTTTGTTTTTTACATTTGTGACCATATATATGTGTACATCTGAATCATTCTTAGATTTAAGTATTTGGGCTCAGTGGAATCATTGATCATTTCACGACTTCAGGTGTAGATAGTATGGAAAGACTGTCTTGTAATTCTGTGCCCTCTGTGTCAGTTGAACAGTGGTTTTATTAAGTTATAGGAAATGTTGGTCTATTTCCTGCCTCTACCATAGACTTGCCTGTTTCATGGTAGTATTACCTCACAGATTTGAGACATCCTGTTGGTAGTGACTAAAAATACTTAAATATTGTAGGTGCTTGTTAAAGATCATTGGCCTTTCGTTAAGTTGCTTAAGTAATCTCCTTTTGCTTTCCTTAGGACTTTCCACCTGCAAAAATATCCTCCAGTTATAATAAATTGGTTGTTATCTTTCTTTTTTTAATTAAATTAATTGGAAGTTCAAATCTATTATCATTTACTTGATGAGACTTGTTGAAACTTAACAAGTTCATTTTCATTATTTTATTTTTTAATGTTTCCATTTTAGAAATATCTCAGCCCTTCTGCCCCAAAACATGAACATTTCAGCATTTATGTTGAGCTGCCTGCAAACTACAGAATCTTTTTGCCTTGTAGACACCAGTGTCACACTTCTTGCTCTACTAATTTTATCAAAACTGTTTTTGTCAGCAGGCAGTATTCAAATCAATTTCAGTAGCCTAGCAGCTTACAAGAAAGGATAAGTCTGGAAAAACTTGAGTGATGAGCATATATAGCATTTGCTTTAGAGTATAGTATTATTGTTTTGAGGAGGTTCTCATTCATGTGTTTGTCCATACACACATTTCACTGTTTCACTGTGGCTGTGCATGTGCTTCAAGGACTTTCAACTCGGGAGACCTTTTCCCTGGTAGCTTCCGTACAGTATGTGTGTATCCTGCCTCTCCTTATGCTCCACAACAGCTCCTCAGTTAGTTTCAACAGTCTTGCCTCAAGACGATATTTCTGAAGTCCAATTTAGCCTGCATTTCGTCTACAGCCTTAGGAAGAAAAGCTGCCTTTCAGCGTTCCCCCCCCTGCCCTCCTCCCCATTCTTCTGTAACCCTTTTGGGAAAACATTACCTATTTCTTATTTTTCACCTTTACTTCATCTGTATCACTTTCTGTAGCAAGACATCAGCTGATGTTCTATAGCCTGTATCCTGTGGCTTTCCACCCAAGTAAAATTCGTTTGATCAGGCAGTGTCGTCTTAGACTGTTGTCATGTTTCTCCCAGATCTCTAGGAGTCCAGTTATGTCCTTTTTGCGGCTAAGCCATGGAAGAGCATGCCTCTTATAAGGATAGTCTCCTAGAATTACAGAAAACATGACTGGAAGGAACCTTCAGAGGTTATCTGGTTCATCCCTCTGTCCCAACACAGGATCAACTTACGATACCATAACTCAGTCTTCACAGATATTGGTTTACATTTTTTTTAAAGATCTAATGATGGTGATTCTATAGCCTTCCTACATAATCTATTAAAATGCTAAACTATGCTTAGATTTTTCCTGATGTGTAACCTAAACATCCCTTGCTGCAATTTAAGCCTGTTGTTTCTTGTCCTATCTCTAATGGACACAAGAAATAGTTTAGAACCTTCCTTCCTGCATTATTTTTGTATGTTTGAAGATTGTTACATCTCCCCTTTGTAGTCTCTTCTGTTACTTAACAGGTTTGGAACCCTGGGCTATTGTAAGGCCCTTTTAAGGGTGCTACCCCACTGCTGCCAAGTGGAACTGCCCTGCTATGCCTCTTTCTAGGAGATGCTGTGAGGAGCAGGAACTGGAAGCTGCTGTAGCAGGATGGGTTGCCCCCTTAGCTTTTCTGTTGTTGGCCTGCCTGAGAGTCCAGATTAGTAATATCGTCAACACAGAGGGGATACATTAAGTACTGCCCCTGCAGGTTCCGTTGGCATCTCATGCATTGGGGCAAAGTTGGGGAGGGTATGTTTCCCTTGAGTGGGGAAAGATGGGCTTTCTCTGCTAGCAATCTTCAAAGGATGCTGGTAAATTTAAACAAGTGTTATAGAGGCATTCCTTGGGTCTAAAAGACTGAGAACCACTGATCTAGACCATGTTTCGTAGCTTGTTTAAGATGACATGCAAGAAAGTGTCAGAAGCTTTTATGAAGTGCTGATAGATCACGTCTGTTGTTTCTCCCCTATCTGCGTGGCCTGTAACCCTTTCACAGTAATTAAGTTGAGCTTTTTGCTTCTTTTTTTACTGAAGTTATCGGTTATTTACCAATCTTATCTTATAGGTATGTATGAATTGATTATTATTTTGCTCTCTTTCCAGGAATTTAATTTAGGATGATTATTCTGTAAGTGTGGATTTACCTTTTCCACCTCTTCAAAGATAAGTGCATTATCTTTGCCCTTTTCCAGTCTTCTGGAGTCTCACCTGTCTTCCATGAGTTGTTGGAGATATTTGCTAAAGGCTCTTCAGCCAGTTCTTGAAGTACTATGAGGTAGTGGACCTCAGCCTCCAGCCCATGGGCCAGATCTGACTTGTGGGTCTCCCCATGGATCCAAAAATTTAGGAGTAGGGGAAGCAGTGGCAGTGTTAGCTGGAGCTTCCCTACTGCCAAATTTTGGATGTGGGAAACACAGGAGGTTGGATGACATGGCTTTGTGTGCTAGATTGTGCTGCTGTGCAGGGTTACTCCACAACCAGATCCCATGCACAGGGTTGAGCTGGTGCATAGCTGGATCTGGTGTGTAATTGGGCCATGCATAGTGCTGGGGCAGTGCATGGGGCTGAACAATTGGCTTATGGGGGTGGGGCTAGCTCATGATTTAGCTGAGTTGATGTGTTGTTTGACTTAATTATCTGTGGGAAGAACTTAATCTGTAAATAATTGATCTCCTGGGCTAGAAAGGAATGCAAAGCCTATCTTCAGGTTTACCTCCTTTAATAAGTACTATAGGGTTGGCCTCTGATTCCAGAGCACTGGACTCCACAGTGTCTATGGAAGCTTCTGGGGAGGGGGGGACAGTATTCTGTTGAAGAGACCTTCTTTCCGTGGTTGAAGTCCCACAAATGGTTCCAGAGGAAGGTCACTGATCTGAGGTTCCTTGAAGACGCCTTCTCCATCTCCCCTGTTTCCTCTAATGCTGCAAGTTCGTTGCTGTGTGTGGATTATAATGAACCTTGGCAGCATCCTGAGAACTGACGCTGGGTTCTGGTGGCGTTCAGGAAGCCCACAGAAAAACACTAAGACATTCATCAGAATTGTCATCTCTACTTTCTTGTAGGAGATCCATAACTTTGGCACAGATTCCTGCTTTGGCACTGAGAACTTTAAGTTCTTGTCACCTTATCTCATCTGCTGAAACCATTTCCAGTGGGATTGTTTCTATATACGGCTCTAATCAATCTTATAGTTAAGCCATAACTGGAGTCCCTGCTGCTCTCCTATTTCCACCAGACCTAGCCATAGAACTATTAGGCCTGCCAGCTGCATTCCCGCTAAAGGATCTGTCTCTTGCTGTTGTATAATTGGCACAGCTGGTAGAAGTCTCATCAGACTTCTCCTTGGGCTCTGACCATGGTCCTAGTTCATCTACCCATTTGTCCTGTATCACTTTCATGGGACCTTTTTAGAAGAAAAGCATTGGCCACTGCAGTCCTCCTGACTTCCATCCAAGTTGTCTTAGGGATCCTTCTGCAGTTTTCCAGGGTGGCCATTCAGGCCATGGGCTGGAGCACTTTTAAGGACGGGTCATATAGTGCAGAAGCCTCTCCCTGCCTCGTTGAGTGTCCTGGAACAGGAAAAGTAGTTGCTTGACCCTTATCCTCTCCTTTTTATCCTATTTAAGATATTTCAGCATCTTGGGTGGATGACTTCAGAGCTTTCTAGCCCTGATTCTGCCACTTCTCAGGTTAAAGGAGCTCTTCCTACACCTCTAGTTCTGTGAGAACTGTGCAAGGTAAGGTGGGACTGCGTGTGACTGACACTGCTGATTCATCCTGGCCAAGGGAATACTGGTTCCAAGACCATCTTTGGGTGTCAGAGTTGTAGAATTCTCCTGCTGCTCCCAGGCCTGCTTGCCCAGAACACAGGAAGAACGCTCCACCCAGATCTATCCTCTCCAAGTCGCAGAATGGATTCTGGACAGTTCATGACAGTGGAGCAGGCTTGTGCTCATACCTTGCTTGAGACCTTCTCATCCTTACTTGAAAAGGTTTGACTATATACAGACATAGCTGGGTAAGTGGACTGGATATTTTTCAGTTTGGTGTCATGTAAGACCTTTGATCTTACCAGGTTTCCATACCAGCTATCCTGGGCTACATTCTGGAGCTGAAGTATAGTGACCTTTTCCTAAGGTTTGTTAAGATTCATCAGACTGTTAGCGTAGCCTACTTCTTTCCAATGAAAGTCGTAGTGTCCTAAAGTTAAAAGGCTTAATTTTCTAGTGGAACCTAGAGCCAATATTCATATCCCTGATGGAGACGGCATTTGAAGCTCTGACCACCAGTTTGCTGCTCCTTATGTATGCAGACATCTTTCTAGGGCAGCCATCACCTTCAAGACAAGGATGAATGACATCCAGGTATTAATGATGGATCCCCTCTGCATTGTTGTGCATGTGTGCAAGAGAGAGAGAGATTGAGAGAGTGTGCGTGTGTGTGGTGCATGCGAGTGCACGTACATACTAATACATAGTGATAAATTATGTATGGTTTTTGATATGAGGAGAGCCTTATTTTCCAACCATCTTTAAGAAATTCCCAATGGCTGTTCATTTCCTTAGCTGAAGGATCCAGAAGTACTGCAATCGTGGGCCTGCCCACACTCGCACATTCCCTTCTGCCAAGTACTTTGTTTTTATGGAAGCCTTTAAAACAGACAGTA